AAAAGCATTTGTGATGATTTCGAGAGTAAGAGGAACAAAAGTTAGAAATTGAACGAGTAGTCCACAAGATTTGTAGTTAGCGATAAAAAAGTGACTTCGTGATTTTCTCAAAATTTCTGATAAGTCACACCTTTAACAAAAACAGGGATAAGTTCATCCCTCGGTGCCCTGAATTCATTGTGGCCTGATTTTATCAGTGTGCCATAATCAGAATCTCGAAGAGAATACCATATTGCCGAGGGCAAATAACCAGACACAGACGTAGCGCCCTGGAAGATTGAGTACATTTCAGTTTACTGCTCTACTTTGATTTGAATGATTAGCAGAACTTACTGGTTGATATACAGGAATAATCATCATTGCATTTCCCCACATAAATTGTTCCCCGAGATCATGAGTTTCTGAGTCAGAAGTGAATTCAAAAAAAACTGGTCGAATAACAGTGCCGCCATATAATGAGACATCGAACAATAAGCTGAAGAATGAATTGCACCAAATAATTGGGTTTTTTGCAACAAAAGAACAAGAACAAGTAGACATTAACAAAAATCAAAGACCTATAGAGATATGGAAGGTAGTAATATCGGAAAAGATTAGCATTTCGAGTGGCTCTTGCAACATCTGGCCATCGAGATGGATCCTGGCTTGTTACACCTTTTTCGTTGTGATTCCTGGAAAATGATCACTTCCAGTTAGTTTTTAAAGACTTCATCTTTGGTTTTTAAAAGTAGCAAAGGTTAAACCTTGAGAAAGGATAAAATGCACCGAGTTGTTGCCATCGTAAACACAATTCCTCGGTTGTTTCTCCATTGAAACCGCAGATATCCGCTCCAATGTATGGCATACCAAACAAATTAAATTCTTGGATGCCAATAATGGAAGCTCTCAAATCAATCCAACGAGCACTATTGTCACCGAGCCAGTGGCCACCGTAATGACCCGAGGAAACAAATGTAGATCTGATATATAGAAACAAATCTGAATTCATCATACATGTTAACTATGTTGACTGTTTCACCCCGTTATGATGACCAAAGGTCAAAATTTCATTTACTTCATTACTCATTGATGAAATTCAACGTACAACTTACAATCTAACATACGTTTGTGAACAATTTATGCAGTTTGTACCAGTTTATCTACAAAAATTTGGGGAAATTTTGTAATCATATTTTTCTGAATCACAACATTTCACTAAATAATTATGACTATTCGATTCCCCGTCATTAAATGCCAATAAACTTCTCCGATCTGTACAAGCATATTACCAATTAGAGCCATTAAATTGTGAACTACTATCCTGTAAAGTCGATCGTTTTCATTTCAAAATTGATTTTCCTTTTTCAAATGTTAGTGAGACTAAGAGCAGTCTTCTTCATCTCTTTATCCACCTTTTTTATCCCAAATAATTGACTCTGCTTCATTTAGAGTCAACTTTCAGGCTCTTGTAAAAGATTGAAAAGAACCTGGATAAAATTAGACCTCGTTTCCCTGTTGCTGCATGCTGAGCCTTTTCAGTCGCTATCATTTCTGCTTTTCTAAACCTTAATAGTTTATAGAATATCAAAGTAGCAATGACATGATTATGAATAATAGATGATTGCTTCCACTGAACCAATATTTTGTAACGAATAACATTATTTCATAATACTGTATCAGCATTTTGTTTAAGTTTTTTGATTTTATCTGAATCCTCGAATTATTAATTCCGTGCTTCATCAATACTATCTTATTATTCGGTGTAGCACATCAAATTTTGTAAAATTATAAAAATAACCTTGTTGTCAGAGCATTGAAAGTGTGTTGAAAAAGTTTAGTTTCAAATAAGTTAAAGTACTATGGCTTTTATATACTTATCTCTTTTGGAGCATAAGTTACTTTAACAATATTTAGCATAAATAAACAATGAAAATGTGTGTATGCATGGATGAGGTGGATAGACATCGCTCATATTCGTTTTCTCCCTTTTTTATTATTCTATTATCTTTCTAGTAATGTACTATAACTCTTAAAGATACTGTAATAAAAGCATACATTTTTTTTTATTTCAACGATAACAATATTTAGACGTTTTCAGAACATTTTTATTAAAAGTTGAAGTGATAGATTTGGTAAGAACCTGAAAGTTCGATAAAAAGAGAAAAGAATTAAAATCTATGTAAGAAAGGAATTAAAATCTATTAGTTTTATTTTGAAAAAGTCTGAAAAAGAATTTATATGTCCAATGACCAAATAATTTCAGAACGGAAACTGCATGATCGAAATCGAGTAGCAACCTATTATCTGATGATACAGAAAGAAAGAGCTAAGTAAAAGCCATCGTTATATAAAATGTTGGTTTCCAAAAATGTATTATTGCTACAATATTTTAAGATGCTCTTTAATTTGATCAAAATAATCCAATCAGATAGAGATCATATCCTCTGAACTAAAGGAAGCTGATAATAAGCAGTGATTGTTCCCGAATTTATAAATTGAAGCATTTGTCAGCAAAGAGGAAAACAATCAAAATGACCATTTTATGAGTCTTCTGATGCAAAATTGTATCATCCGCTCAGAACGCATTTGTTGAGAAGCGCAGTTGGACTGGCAAAAAGATAAACGAATAAAAATTACGGTTTTCAGAACGGCTTATCACAATTTATTTAACTGATAGTATCGCTGAATATACCTACTAGTTTTTTTTTTTTTTTAAAGAAAAATGTCACAATATCGATTATTGGCTGAGAAGCGTGATGTTGTTTGAGATGTTTCATATGTGTCCATAACAATAGCTAAGATATACATTTATTTAAATAATCACTATTAATAAAAATGGAATTGATATAAATTCAACTCGTTGATTTCGAAAGCAGTACAATAGCTTTAAATTTTAGTGATAATATCACTAACTTAAATATCATTGACTGGTAAAAAAAAATACATTAATTTAAAAAAATTTAATAATGTAATGCCTTTAACAATTTGAAATAAAATTCGTCCACTTTGCACTAATAAAATATTTTAAGAATCAATATTCTTCATATCTACTGATAACTATTATCAGTAGAACTTTACTAGGAAATTCATTATCCTGCTCTACAAATTTTGAAGGTACCATTAAAATATAGGCTTTCAAATAAAATTTTAAGAGGGATATTACGACAATTTCTATAAAATGTATAAAAAAATTTAATTTTTAATTAATTGACCACTGCTTCTATATTCATATGTTTCCTGGTTGTCGGTGAATTGTTGCGAGAGCAACCATCACGGATTGTAGATAAATTCGAAGCTATAATTGAAATAATATAAGAAGCTATCATGACCTTTTGTCGAATCCATTAGTTCATTCCAATAAACGTTTGATTCAGCGTAGCAACGAGAATAGATTGAAGAGGAAGAACGAACCGGCCAAGAACATGCGGCAAATTTGCAATAATAGCTCCATATTCATTTACATTATCATAGATTTCAAAAAGCGGAGCTGCGATCAATAAACTATTCTTCGGAATTGTAAATACTGCACTCTTAGGAAGATTAACGGCGATCAGTTTTATCATCTCTTTTGGTTTCGTGATATGTGAAGGAATATAAGGATACTAAACAGGAGCCTTTAAAGTTATTATATAGATTGAATCACATAAGCATTTCCTCAAAAACAGAAGTGTGGTGGTTGAAATGAAATGAATCGAAAAATTGACTGCGCTTAAAATACTGACTACTGAACTGTAAATGATGATACGATAGGATTCATAACGGTAAATTTCATTTTATACTTCATTCACTGCCTTTCTAAGAAATCAGAATCTCGGAAGGTAACTTACAATTTCTTTTTCAAAGTTGGGACGCCACCACTTTGCAACAACATGCCGTACTTTGCAAATTGCTTCTGCGCTTTCCTCTGTAAGTCCCATAACCTGAAAAGTGGACAATATGTGAACTCAGTGGGACATTTGTCCTTGTCTACTTGAGCTGAAATAACAAAAACTTCACTGCACCTGAACCAATAATCGTTTCATTCCGTCAATTTCATCTTCATCGGGATAGAGCGATACCGTTGGCCTGTAAGTTAATACAGTATATATGCTTTTTAGTTGGTAGCAA